TTTTTTTTCCCGATAAGATGCCTCGTTTTTGTTAATTCCGAGGTGAATTTCGCGCTGTCTGCTTAATTAAAATGGAAAGGAGTGCGAAAGCCGGAGTCTTGAAGAAGAAAGGTCCTTCAGGGTGTTTGGTTATCAAGAAGAAATCGGAGAATAAGAATTCGGGAGGTGGCTCAGGGGGTCTATATGATGTTAGCAAGGCGAAAGAAAGGGATAGGTTACTTGAAACTTATTCGGGCTCGGGCACAGGCTCGAGCTCCAGCTCGGGTTCGAGTGATGAGGATGTACCTTTGGAGTTCATGAGACGAAAAGTGAGTGAGAGGAGATTGGACAACGGTTTGAAATCCCATAAGCAAGAGAGTCTTGAAAATAGGGATTGCAGTGGTGGGAGGAAACGGGGTAGTTTGGAGTTGTTTGATTTTGACGAATATGATGAATTTGACCCGAAGAAGATGAGGAACTTGTATTTTGAGAAAAGGTTTGAGAAAATCGAGAGGAAGTATAGTGGGAATGTGATGAAGGGTTTTGGTTCTGGTTTATCTAATATGAATTTTCAAAATAGTGGTAGTGGAAGCAAAAAGGGGTTGAAGGGCGAAAATGTGAAGGATAGTAAAAAGCTCGCCGTGGATGATGATGATGATGATGATGATGATGATGATGATGGAGACATGCCCATTTTTCTTTTAAAGTCGAAGATTCAGAAGACAGCTGGTGAGCCAATCAGGGTGCAGGGGAAAAACGGTGTTTTGAAGGTTATGGTGAAAAAGAAGAAAAAGGTGGATTTCTCATCTCAGGCTAAGAATGACGACACTATTGAACTGAAAGAAGGAAAAGCTTCGAGGTCCGATGATGCAGCCAAGAAGGATCTGTTTGCTGATAATGAGATAAGTGCTGAGAAAGAGAAAGAGGAGAAGGTAGATGGAAGTATACAAGTATATAAATCAAAGAAAAGGATGAAAAAAGAGCAAGAAAGATCTTCACCTCCCAAGAATTTTACTCCTATAAAAGGAAAAGAAGGTAAAGCGCAGCGTGGTGGGAGTACCGAAAAGCAAAAGCTGCGAGAGAAGCTAAGAGGGATGTTAATTGATGCTGGGTGGACAATTGACTATAGACCGAGGCGTAATAGAGACTATTTAGATGCTGTCTACATTAGCCCTGGTGGGACAGCTTACTGGTCGATTACAAAGGCACATGAAGCGCTCAAGAAACAGTTAGAAGACGAAGGTGGAAAAAATAGTTCGGAAATGGGATCCCCGTTGTTTGCACCTCTACCCGAAGATCTCATAAATAAACTCACGAGGCAAACCAAAAGGAAATTGAAGGATGGATCGAAAAGGAAGAGCAAAAAGGACAAGCGTGCAGAGACCTCAGATAGTGATGAAGATGATGAATCAATCGAAGGTTCCCCAAAAAGGAAGAGAGAGAAAGTCAAAGTTGACAGGTCTTCAAAGGGTTTAAGTTCTAAAGCTACAGGGAGTTGCACCCTTATGGTCCGTGGGTATGATAATGGGGATAGCTCAGATTCTGATGGGTACGTTCCTTATACTGGGAAAAGAACTATCTTGTCCTGGCTGATAGACTCTGGAAAAGCAAGATTAAGTGAAAAAGTAAAGTACATGAACCAGAAGAGAAGTCGGGTGATGTTAGAAGGGTGGATCACTAGAGAAGGGATCCACTGTGGATGTTGCAGTAAAATTCTTACTGTCTCGAAGTTTGAGGTGCATGCTGGCAGCAAGTTGCGCCAGCCTTTTCACAATATATTCTTGGAGTCGGGCTCATCACTTTTGCAGTGCCAGGTTGATGCCTGGAATAGTCAGGAGGAGGCTTTGCTTCAGGATTTCTGTAGTGTTTGTGTTGATGGTGATGATCCAGATGATGACACGTGTGGGATTTGTGGCGATGGAGGTGATCTGATCTGTTGTGATAGTTGCCCGTCAACTTTTCATCAGATCTGTATGGAGATACAGGTACTTGTTGATGGATTTTAGCATAAAAGTGCGTGTGTGTGTGTGTGTATGTGTGTATTAATCATCACTAAAATTGAACTTAAGTGGGTCTGTTATTTAGTTTTCTTCTCCCTATTATGCCGTTGTTCTTCATTATGTGTGTTGACACATATAGTTACTGTTGAAATTGTTTGTTTTCATTTTTTGCCCATTTCTTAAGTATGCTTTATGTGTAGGGTTTCTTTTCTTTTCCCTTTTCGTTTCGTGGGTTGTATGTGTTTCTGGTAGGGCTTGTGCATATTCAAACTTTATTCATTCACATTTTTGCCTCCTGAATATGTACTACTGTTGATATTTTTGCTCTTCTTAGGCAGTAAATAAATGCATTGCAAGTATTGTGGCTTTAATATACTAAAGTATTGGTGCATTCTTAATGAGTTTTTTTTTTTTTTTTTTTTTTCATCAAATTGACCATATACAGGTTCTTATACCTCCTTTGTATGCAGGAGCTTCCTTCAGGGGATTGGCACTGTGCAAACTGTACTTGCAAATTTTGTGGCAGTAGAAATGTTGCTGAAGAAAATGAGAGTGCCGAGGATGAACTTAGAAGATGCTGCTTCTGTGAGAAAAAATGTAATAGTTTTTACAGTGTTAAGAGTTCTACGTGCATTTCTTATTTTCTCTCCATCTCACGTATCTCTCAGAGATATGCAAATGCTGTTTTTATATATATTTTTTTTCAATGTAACTATCTTGATCATTCGGTCTCATCTTTTTGTAGATCACAAATCGTGCGGCGAACATTCAAATGCTCTACGTTTGAGTTCTGATGGTGCATCTTTCTGTGGAGTGAATTGCCAAGAGGTATGGGCATAGATTTTCCTATATGTAGTTACTCCACAAGAGATGGTGAATTGCTCAATCGTACTTTATGTCAATATTTTTTTGCTTTTGCAGCTTTTCTATCATTTGCAGAAGATCCTTGGAGTTAGACATGAATTGGAAGCAGGATTTTCATGGTCGTTTATTCAACGAAAAGACGTGTCTGATGCCTCACAGAGTGGATTTTCTCTCAGGGTGGAGTGCAACTCTAAGCTAGCTGTTGCATTATCTATCATGGATGAATGTTTCTTGCCCATTATTGACAGGAAGTCTGGGATAAATTTGGTTCATAATGTTGTTTATAACTGTGGGTAAGATATGTAGTCAACCAAGCTAATGAAAATTACATAAGCCACGTTCTCTGCTACTTAAAGATCTTAGTATATCTTAAGCAATTGTGTTCGATTTTATGCAATTGTGTTTCTACTAGTCTTTAAGTAGTTCCGTACAATTGCTAGTTCTGGGTAATCTCTCTTGGTTAGGTGCTTGGCTCTTGGTTTCAGCTGCTTCTTTCACGCACAAAGAAATATAAATAAAAACTGGAACGCATCCTAATAGGCCTTTTTTTTTTTTTTTTTTGCAGATCAAATTTTAACCGTCTGAATTTTCGCGGATTTTATACGGTAATTTTGGAGCAGGGAGATGAAATAATATCTGCGGCATCTATCAGGTATGCTTCTTGTTGGCATTTTCTGTACTTGGGGCTTTAAAACACACCTTATCATATCCTTAATAATGGAAGTATAAGCTTTGCATTGAATTATTGATTCTTTAGTTCTATCTGCAGACATTGTAAAGCCATCTGAACATATTATTATTTCACTTGAATAGGCTCCATGGAGACCGTTTAGCTGAGATGCCATTTATCGGGACTCGTGAGACCTATAGGCGACAAGGAATGTGCAGACGCCTTTTATCCGCCATTGAAACTGTAAGGATGTTGAACTTAAACTAACATGTTTCATTGGTTTTTCTAAAACAATTCGAACATGGGAAAGTGTATTCAACTTGAATACTAAACTGGTGGACGAATTTATTTTGTGCTTTCTTTTTTGCTGGACTTGTGATATAATTTCGCTTTTGTTATTTCAGGAACTTTCTTCGCTAAAGGTTGGACGATTGATCATTCCCACCATATCAGAGCATATGAACACGTGGATTAGAGTTTTTGATTTCGAAAAACTCGAGGATGTGCACAAGAAAGAAATAAAGTCCTTGAACATGTTGGTTTTTCCAGGGACAGATATGCTGCAGAAGCAGTTAGTGAAGCAGGAAAATTCTGATGGTAAAAAATTTCGGTTTTTGGTAATATATAATTTATCATTTCAATTATATTTTCAGCTGACCACTTAATAAGAAAGAAAAAGAGAATCATTTTTCAGCTCTAAAAGTTGAACTATCTAATTTTCAGCTGTAATTTCAACTATAGCTATTTCTAATTTCTTAACTTTGCCGTTTGGAATCATAAGGAAAATTTATGTACCGTAAGATACTTTGCTTTTCCTTTTTCTAAGCTATGTATTTTTTGGGGCAGGCGTGAATGTCTCTATCACAATGAACAATCAACCTCGATCGCCAATTTCAGTTGAAAAGCCCGATAAAGAGGCAAGTAGTGATTCTGGGCCGGGTCTCAAGCCCAAGACAAACGATGAAGCTGAATCAGCAGATTCTCCTTCCCCACAAACAATACCTCCTATATCAGGTGCTGTTAGTGAATGTGATCATCATTCTCTTCACACCCAGGAAACAATTCTCCAGAAGCCCGAGGTTGAAATCGAGCATAGAGAATCTCCCAATAACTCGGAATGCTCTCCCAATCAAGCTGAAATGAACGAATGCAAAATCGAAACTCCTTCCATGGATTCTGCTGGTGGCGTCACTGTAGAGAGTTCAAAGTCTGAAAATGCTGTGCTCAATGTTGAGGTTGCTGAAGATGCTGGCCCCACAAGAAGCGAAGATGAAGGTTGTATGAATCTCTTCCTGATACAGATAAGATAAAGTCGATGGGATATACCTAAGTTTTACGAATAACAAATTTCTCTTTCTTGAACACACGATTTATCAAGAGTGATAAATGTCAAGGGCGTATTGTGATTTAAAAATTTGCAGGGTGTTCGTAAGATAATAAAAATAGGCTAAATCTAGGGGTAGTTCTTGTAACCAACCCTAAACTATTTCCCCTAAACTATTTCACCTTTGTTGTTCAATGGCAGGCGTTAAGGGCTCTGAGGCAACTCACAATCAACTTCGATTGCCCATTTCTTCTGAAATGCCTGATAAACAGGAAAGCAGCAATTGTGGGCCATGCCTCGAGTCCAAGGTTAACAACAATGTTGTATCATTGGATTCTGTTTCTGCACAAACAATTGTACCTTCAATGACTACTCATGAGCAAGATAAGTCAGCACATCCTGTTTCAGATGCTATTTACTGAATCTGAACCCAAGAGACAACTGATGTCAAGCCAGTAATAAAAATCGAGCAACATGGATTTTCAGAAAAATACCAAAAACTGCCCACCAACTCCTGCTGAAAAGCAGTACGCGCGAAATTGAAGATCCTTCAAAATTTGAAAATACCGAGGTTAATTAAGACTTTTCAGAAGATGGTGGCTCCACAAGAACTGAAACAAGTTTGTAGTGAATCTCTTCCCGGTACAGAAAGCTACAGTCACCGGAAAAACCAATGAAGAAAATGGGACACCTCATTCTTTTAATGGGTAAGTTGCTTCTGTTTCGTGTTGCGAAGATTTAGATTAGAATATAGATACAAATGAAGGCTGCGGTGTTGATTTGATGTTTAGAATGAGAACTGGTAATTACGAACTGGACTCGTATTGGTTTGAATTTCCCTGCCTGAGGGGGGGTTTATAAATGTTAGGTCGTTCCACATATGCAACATGATTGAATCAAAGCTTGAATGTTAACGAGCTGTAAGGCTTGGCCAGAAATTTTTTGTATGCATTTTTTTTTTTTTTTTTTTTTTTTTTTTTTTTTTTTTTTTAAAAAAATTGTGAGATTCCTATTTTATAGTACATGTGTTGGATCAACTTATATCAGTATATTGAGGAAATTGCAAATTTGGTCCCGTTAGATTAGGGCGGTTCCAAAAATAGTCCCAAGATGCTCATTTTTAGTCCTTAACTTATTTTCGTTCCAAACTTAGTCCCAAAACTAACAGACTGGACGGAAATGTTAACAGCCAAAAATGGAGGGAGAATGACATCTGAAAATGGCGGGAAATTGCACCAGAAATGACAAGCCACAGAACAGCATAAATCCTTCATTCTCTTCTTCAGATTTGCAACTCAAGTCAACAGAAACATAGGAAAAAAAAATGAGTTTTTCAAGTTCTTCAAGAAGAGAAGCCGGTGTTCTTTGTTTTTGCCGTAAGGTTGCTCGTCTACAAACCGCATGGACCCCTGCCAACCCAGGAAGGAGGTACATGGATTGTGGCCAAAATGGTTGTACCTTTTGGAATTGGTTTGACCCTCCGATGTGTGCAAGGTCAAAAGAAATAATCCCCGGATTGTTGCATAAAATAAACCGGTTAGAAGCTGAAACAAATCGCCAAAATGTCGAATCTGCAACTGAGCTTCAAGAGAAGGAGATGTACTTGAAAAAGATGAAGAAACTAGAAGAAGAAAATGCACAACTGAAGAAGAAGAATAGAATTTTACTGTTTTTACTTGTAATCTCAATGGTGTGTATGTTTATCATGAAATGAGCATAATATGTATCCAAGTATCCAAATGGGGACCTTATCTATTACTGTTATGATTTGTTGCTAATCTCAATGAAAATCAGACCACTTTGTTGCTAATTTGCCATGAATCACGTTCTGACTCAATTTGGCATGAAACAAAAACACAACAAAGAACTTCAATTTCATTCATTATACTAAAATAGAACACAAAACCTCAATTGGGTAAACAGTCATCATGAACCTGAATTGCATAAATTAGAACACAAACTTCAAGCATGAAACTCAATGTACATACAGAACTTCAATTGCAAACATAAAACAAGAGATCCACTTTCAATTAAGCACCAGGACTGCAATCCACTTTGAATTAAGCACCAGAAATTCATGCATGAAACAACATGAAACCTCTATGTAAAAACACAGAACTGCAAACCACGTTCAATTAAGCACCAGCCATCATGAAAACACACTTTCAGCCACAAAACACTACATTTCAACAAGAGATCCACCTTCAGTCATAAAAACCCATCACATAACATAATTCAGGTTCCCAAAACAAGACAACTTACTGACACCGTCATAATATAAGCATTTTCACAGAACACCCCTTTGCAAATACCACTCAAAACCAGGGGACTAACTATTATTTCAAAAGGTGCACAATTTGCAACAGGAGACTTAGATTTGATGACTTCAAAGAGTAGCTCCTCTAGTGCTTTTCCTTGCTTGTTTAAATCAACATATGCTATCAGAAATGCATTCAAAAAAGTAAAACAAAGAAAATCATCATCCTTGATTCAAAAAAGTAAAACACAGAAAGTAAAACACTTACAATTAGTTTCCTTTGAGGTTGGGGCTGGCTATCATCATCCTGAGTTTGTGATGGAAAATCATCACCTTGAGTCATCTCTTCATGTTGTGTCTCCACCTCAAAGGCACCATCTGAAATCCCACTCTCAGCTAACTTTTTCCACTCACAAGTTCTTTGATTGTGTCCCATTTGATGGCAAAACTTGCAGGACACCTTATACTTTTGCCATGGAAGTTTTTGTTCACCTTTCATTCTTTTTTTTTTTCCACTGCTACTCTCACCTGCTCCCATTCTTCTTAATTTGGCTGGCCTTCCCCTTTTTTTTTTTCAAAATTTAGAGGAAGTGGAGGTATGTAACCTGTTCTATCCCATAGACCTGGCCCAGTTATAGGCTTTATAGCAGGTTCATACACCTTAGCATAAGTGTCACAAGAATAGCATTCATCCACAAAGTCCTCAGGTTTATGCCCTTGTGCTAATATGGCACTGCATGCATGTTTGCATGAGATTCCTGTCAAGTCCCACTTTCTACAGCTACAAGTTCTTTCCATCAGGTTCACAATATGAGAAGCACCATCATTGCAATCTAGTTGGTACCACCAGTCATTGGATTTGATTGGGATGCATTCAGAGGCTTTTCCTTCTTGTTTGTCTACAAGTTTCTTGATCTTGGGGCATATTTTTCTCCCTTCCCACTTTCTCTCAGCCATATCTCTGTTCTCTTGGAGCCTAGTCATCAGGTACTGTCTCACCCATTCCAACATAGTCAAGATTGGCTTCTCTCTAGCCTCTAGGATGGAGCTGTTGAAAACCTCACAGATGTTGTTCAACAATAGATCTGACTTAGGAGTTGGTGTGAAGTGGGACTTTGACCATTGTTTTGCAGGTTTATCCTCAAGCCAAACCTTGCAATCCTTGTCAAGTTCACCAATCTTGTTCATTGACTCTCTGAATTCTGAAAGAGTGGTGGCTTTGGCTGCTTTCCATAAAGCCCTTTTGAAGGCTAGACCTCTGAAACCGGTTGTTTGCATATTGGCATGTAAATGCCTCACACAAAATCTGTTCTGAGCACCAGGAAGGACATCTTAAAAAGCTGGAATCAAGCCTTTTTGCTTGTCAGACATGAAAGTCCATTCTTCATCATTCTGAATCATCAGATCTTCCTTTAGATTTTTAAGAAACCAAGTCCATGTCTCTTTGGTTTCACCACCCACAACTGCATATGCTATAGGGAATGGATTATTTGATGGATCCACCCCTACAGCTGCGAGAAGAATGCCTCCATGCTTAGCCTTTAAGTGACAGTCATCAACTCCCACTAATTTTCTACAACCAGCAAGAAAACCATGTTTTAATGGGGCCAAACAAATGTAGATATTGTCAATTTTTTTCTGTTTATCAGGTCCAGGAGCATCTGTTAGTGACAATAAAATTGTGCTGCCTGGATTTTTCTGCCTCAGAGCATATGCATAATCCCATATCTTTGCATATTGGTCAGAATGTGATCCCTCAATTGATTTCAAAGCTAAGTGTTTGGCCCTGAAAGCTTTGCCCTTGGACACATGACACTTCAGTCTTTTCACTGCATCTCTTCTGAATCCTTTAAGTGATCTCTTTGGATCAGACCTGAAGTCTTCTTCATACCTTTCTGCAATCCATCTAGCTGTGGCATTTTTTACTTTTCATGTCCTTGCACATGAGTGCCTGTGATTGTAGGCTCTAATTTGGTAGGCCTCTTCATTACACACTTTAAGTGCATTTATGGCCCATTGACACCCATTTGGTTCTTCTTCACACCTAGCATAGATTCTCCTCTTATCATTCTTGGTGATTCTGAGGCTTCTATGAGTTTGGATGCCATGAGAAGAAATTGCTTCCTTGAACAAACTCTTGGATGGAAACTTCATTCCAATTGCAAAATGAGGATTGAAAACATCCTCACCCTTAAACACAAAACTCTCATTCCCCTCTTCATCTTCATCTTCATCTGAACCCTTCAAACTACAAAAATCTTCATCACTACTATCATCTTCATCTTCAGACACAGACATACTACTGTCAGTGGACAATCCTAACTCTGCCCCCTTTTTTTGTGACTTTAACATGAGTCTCCACAAGGTTCTCCTCATCCACATACATATCAATATATCTTTCAAGCTCAGCATCATCAGAATTACTGTCCACCCCTTCTCTATTTTCACCCTCAACCTCACCTGCCTCATTAACACCCCCATCCCCATTGCCATCCTTCTCCAATTCCTTTTCTTCCTTCTCAGCCACTAGATAGAACTTCACTTCTCTTTCATGATGTTTATCAACAGCCAACAAAAGATCAGTCTCCATAAGCACCTCTCTGTATTGATGGTGCAAGTCAAGTCTATAAATTTTTTTCTCCCCACAGTATCCTAACTCTTCACAGAACCTATAGACATCCCTCATGTTTACTTTGTACTTGTCCACATAATCAAATGCACTTATCTCACCCCCAACATACCTCTGTTGTCCTTCAATTATATCATCAGCCAAAATCTCATCATGATGTATTTTGAAAGTAAGGTAAAACGGGTTAGTGCCACCTGCATGTGCATAACATGGAACATGTGGTCAGATATACAAATAAATAAAATGAGGTTTTTTGTACAAACAATCCTAATTACAATGAGCACTAATTTAAAAAAGAAAAAAAAATCAAAAAAGCCCTAATTACATAGCATGGATGACCACATACCCAACAAAATTCCTAATTTTAAAAAGAAAAAAACCCTAATTACCCGACATGAAGGACCACATACCTACAAAGCCCTAGTTTTTATAACAAAAAATTTAGAAAAAAACCCTAGTTACCCCAAGTACCCGACAAAGCCCTATTTTCTATCGCAAGATTAAGAAATACCCAATTACTACATACTAGACAAAAG